TTTATTTTGTGAAACCTTACTACGTATATGGAATAACCGTTTTATAAAAGCAATAATCCCTGTGAAGCCATGGTTTACAGTGAATTTATAACAGCTTCACATCGTACCTAACAACGCCCCTTAGATGTTATAAATTCACTGTAAACCACGGCTTCTTGGGGCTTATTGCTTTATTTTAAAATATATGTAAACTTCTTATTCTAACATAAAAGGGCTTTAAAGTTGTGTTTTGGGTCATTATGCTTTGGCACAGTATCCGTCAAACGAACTCAAACCGAAAGCACAATATGCTTCACCTCTTCATCAAGTCTGTTTCAAAGTGAAGCACACACTTGGTTCAGACGATCAGCTCGTGATCCGGTGTTTTCTGCGTCTCAGAACGACTCGTTCACACTGAATGAATGCAGACAACTCGTTTATCACAAGTGCATTAGATAGAATAATTTAACTTTAAAACGTTCAAAATTTTCATTTATTTCCAATTCTTCATTTGTCTTTTTTTTTTTAAATATCACAATAAATATTGTATCGTGGACTTCATACCGCAATATCATCGTATCGTGAGATTATGATATCGTTACATCCCTAAAAAACACTGATTAATGTACTTGTGCAATGATACTATCAGTCGTATCCATCATGCAGATGTAAAGCAGGACACATCTCCTCTACTAAAAGCATTTTTAAAATACCGAAAAATTCCCTACTGACTTCATATGTAAGTGGGTCCTTGATATTGTTCAGATTTTTGACAAAAGCAAGACCTTACAGCAGGTTCAAAGGTCAAACGCACCTTTACGTGCTGTTCGGCTGTTTCCTTTTTCTCCTCCAGGTAAACTGTACAGATAAAATCACCACTGCCCTAAAACACACACACACACAAGCCACAAATAACAAACCTGCTAAATAAATAAACCAGAGTTTTGCTATAATATGCAGAGATCTGAGTGTTTCAATGTGTTGCTATGCTGTTGTGGGTGATGCTATGTGGTTGCTAGGGTGTTGTGGATTAAGCTATGTGGTTGCTAGGGTGTTCGGGTGGTTGCTAAGGTGTTGTAGGTGATGATGTAAGTGCATGGTTCAAGGTTCTCCTTTAATGTGATATTTTTTGGTGCGGAAACTGCAGAAGGTTAATGATGAAAAATATAAAATGAAAACAAATAAATCATTTTAAAATGAAAACAAAGCAAAATAAAACACTTATTTCAAAAATGTAGATTATTTTTTTCCCCCCAGAAAACTGGAAACATGCAAATGTGTTAAATTACTGAAACATTATCTTAAAAACAAAAAAAAACCTGTTTAAATCACTAAAACTATCTAGTTCCTTCATGATTTCGCAATTAGAATGAATGCAAATTTAACTCATTCCTGCAGTATTTGTGGCACCTTGCATTTTTCTCTTATTTTTGCAATTTTTCCCCAAAAAAACAATATTAGCTAATCAAAATGCATAATTCTGATCCCAAACAAATTGATCAATGTTTTCAAGTGATCTCTCCAAATCATTCCTTCACAGCTTGCATTTGTCTATTGTCTTTCCAGCCTGTTCAGGGACACGACCACGGCAGATTTCAGTCATAAAGCACGACATAATTTACAGAGAACTACTCTCACTGTTTACAAATCCATAATGATTATTGGAGAGTTTTTACTGCAAATTAACATGAAAAATTCAGCATATATAAATTTTTGAGAAAAGCTGCAGCAAATTCAGTCATTTAGGATTGCAAAATTCAGAAAAAATTCCAACAAATGGAGTGCAATGATGCACGACTTAGTAAACACCACAATAATTGTAACACTTACCGTTCCCGCTTTAGGCGTGAGGTTGTCTCTGAGCTTTATGATGTATGTGATCTCATCTAACTGCTTCTTCAGCTGCTGCTCGTTTACCTGCAACACACACACACACACATACCCACACCCACAGACACACACACACACCAAGAAGA